TCGCCTACATCGTCCATATAGGACGACTCGGGAACTCAACTCCTACCCCGGGCAGCTCACCTATCCCCTTATGCCCAGGGGAAAGGTATCAAGCCGTTTGACAGCTGATGCTGGCTGTCAAACCGGCTTTTACGCAAAACAGGCGGGAGGCAGCAAACAGCTGCGACCAGCGAAATCGCCTGCCACCGGAAGTCCTCCCAGAACCATCTTTCTGTCTGGCTCTCCTCTTCAATAAACTGCAACCTCCTTTCTAAAGCAGTCGCCATGTTGTTTATTCCCGGTGTTATGATTCCGTGCCAGCCTGTGATCTAGGTAGTTGAGTCTGGGGAATCAGGAGGAGGAGGAGCCTGGAGAGCCATCAGAGTCGGAGGGAGGCTCTGATGAGCTGCAGGACTTACAAACTAATGAAGAGGCTGGTCCTTCCACTTGTGATCAAGCTGAGAGTCAGCTGTACTGGGAAGCTGAGTCGGACTCAGGGGACCCGTAGGACAGGGAGGCAATGAGGTGACTCCAGGGAAGGAGGAGAAAGCAGTGAGAAGCCACGCCTTGGGGGCTGCGTAACAAAAAGGGAATCTGTGGGCAGGGCTGGTTGCTGGAGGCAACCGTTTGCAAAGAATTTCAGAGTCAAGAGTCCACGACTCGGCGGAAAATCAGGCGGCGGCTTGGGAGACAACTGCCGCCGCAGCATTGGACCGAGTCGTGCCTTTGCGGCCTCTGACCCGACGTAGATCTCGACTGGCTCCCTGGTTTACCGGGGAGCTGAGAGAGATGAAACGTCGGAAAAGACGCCTAGAGAGCAGTTGGAGGGCCAGCCGAACCGAATCCGATTGAACACAGGTAAGGATACATGTTAGATCCTACCTAGTGGCGATGAGGGTGGCTAGGACTAACTACTATTCCTCACTCATCGCGTCATCAGATAATCGCCCGGCCGCCCTCTTCAGGGTGACCCGCTCCCTCCTTCAATTGAGGGGAGGGGGGGATCCCCTGGAGGGGAGGGCCGAGGATTTTGCTCAATATCTGCATGA